AGTTGGAGGACTCCACGAACAAGGGAGGAGGAGACTTCACGCTGTGTGAAGATCTCTAAGCGCTGCGGATCCTTACGGACCCAACGCATTTTAAGCAGGCAACGGAGGTCTGATCAACCTCTAGCCTCTCCCCGTCGCCGAGCACAGTCTAGACGTATCCCTTCCCGCGTGCAAAAGAACCGGACCCACAGAGCCTAGCAAACTTCGTGTGGAGCAGAAGGACCCACGGAGCCTAGCAAACTTCGTGTGAATCCTTGACCGATCTCAGAGCTCTTCTACCTGGGTTCGAGTCCTGCAGGTTTATTTTCCCGTCGCCGAAACCCATTGCGACGTACCCTCATATTTTATATCTTCCCGTCGCCGGAACCCTTCGCGACGTACCCTCGTGCCCTGCAGGTTCGAGTTTTGTTTTGTTTCCTGTCTGTAACCGCAACTCAAGCAAGTTTTCCAGCCTACACCACTGCCATCTCGGTCTAAGTAAACAATCTTTTAAACTACCACTAAGCGTTTGTGCCTAATTCCAGCTCGACGGCCTTCCCTCTCCGACCCGGCGTGCCCGGGCTGCTGGCCACAGTCCGCGTGCAGCACGGAAAAGGGCTCGGGTTGCTCCCGGCCCGCACACCCCCCACCCCTCCTTTGGGTCATTCCAGCTGGACCCCTCTGTCTTGCTTTCTATTTGGTTCAGGTTGGTCAACCAGGTGACCTGGCTGGATAAATTCCTGAGATGGGGGAGCGCTCTCTTCCTCCGATGGCCATTTTGAAAAGCCACCAGCAAAGTGCCTCCAGGCTGCAGCCTGGATGAACTTCTGTAAGTAAAAACTTGCAAACTAGCCAGGTGTTAGGATTTATGTATAGGCAGACACGTTTTAAAAGGATTCTTATGTCCAAGGCTGTGTAAGACTCTGATTGATTATGTTGGCTCAAAATGTATTCTGACTTCCTTGTTCTGCCCCTGCCCCCTCCCCCTGATCAATAAAGGTATCAGGTTACAGCATGCCTTGCTGTTTTGCTGTGGAAGCCTGAGAGGCAAGCCTTTTTGCTCCCAGCTTGGCTAGCAGAGCTTGCTATGTTCTCTCAGTCCTACCTGAGGTTATCTTGGGATGCTTTGGGCTGGAAGAGGCACCCAGAAATATTACCAGTGGGCAAAGCACCCCCAAGGCTTGCAGGGTCTGTGCGCCCTGGCCTGCACAGAGCCCTAACAGAGACCAGTGCCCGGGTGGTGGCAGCGTTACCCCAGGTTTGCAGGTGTTCTCCAGCAAGTGGGAAAGCCAGCTGTAGGCACCCCATGGAAGACTCCCAAAGTGAGGTTTTTGGCCCTGGCACCGTGAGGTGGGTGTCTCTGCATAGTAGCACCCCCTGCTGTGCCACCACAAAGCCCACCCAGCCTGGCCCGATGGTGCGCAGACCGGGAGCTGTGAACCATTGGGCCAGGTGGGCTCTGTGCTTCCACATGGGGCTTTTAACACCCCGGTAGTAAACTGCACGTGGAGGCATGGAGTTGCACACCATCGGGTTGGGCAGGGACTGTGCATAATGGGGGGCAGGGTGTGTGGTGGGGGGGCCCACACCCCCACATCCACTCTCCCCTTCTGCAGGCAGGAGCTCCCCTCCCCACTCACTAGCTGGCCGGCCATGCACCACTGCACTTGGTGCCTCCACATGGGGCTCCCAGCTAGAGTGCCTGTAGCCCTCCAGAGGTGGAAGCACAGAGCCTGCCTGGGTTAAATTATGCAGTGTTATACAATTATGCATGGCCATACGTTTTATGCACATGATTGCATAGGCACATAATTGCATAATTCCATGGGGTATACATATGGAATTATTGCCCCAAATTTATACCTTTACCACCTTGCACTTTTAAATTCTGATTTATACATACAAACACATATATCCACAGTGCCCTGAGAAATTTTTGCCCTTACAGTATTTAATCATTACATTGTTCAAGTACAAAGGGGAAAAATGTGGATCCCAATGTTCAGTAACCATTGGTAAAATTATTAGCAGAAACTACTATGTACAAGCATACATTTATTCAAATTAGTACTATATGAAATATTGCTAGGCTACTGAATTTTGGAAGAAATAAGAAGATTATAGATTTCAGTATGAGTTGATCAAAATGGTCTAATATAATAAATGAACAAGTTCTGAAATAAAAACCACCCTTTCAATACATTATAGGACCAGTTCTTAAGTGAAACTATTATGATTATCTGCTTTGGATAGTAACTTCAAAATGAAGAATTTTTGATAACCTGCTTTGTGTAATTGAATATATTTTTCGGGGGGGAGGGGTTATATCAACAGGTGTAAATAAAAATGAAATACGGAACACTTTACATTTTTGTTACTTTTCATTTAAAGCAAAAATCCCGTGCTATAAATTGGCTTGGGACAAAATAACAATTTTTGTAATCACTTTCATGAACTATATTGGTAGTTATTGTTGGCAGTTCCTCCATATAGTGGCTTCTTATTTACATGTATATGTGAAAAAGTCAGATGAACATGATATACACATTTATATGCATATTAAACAGTTCCTGCTTCTGGTTCCCAACAATTATTTTTCATTTTTTTTCCCAGGGCACTATTACCTCATTCTTGCTGAGTTGGTTGGATAGGATTTCTAGCTGCATGAGTCAGATGTTCTTTTTTTCCTCCACTACCCTCCCACTTGTCTGTGTGTCAATTGCAAACTTAGAGGGGAGCAGAAAGCAATATAGCGCATGGGAACAGAGAGGTCTTATGAAAGAAATGGAGTTTAAAAATTAGTAAATCAAATATTTGAATTCGCATTTTGACCATGATTTGGATTGTCTTGAAGTGGCAAGGATATTCATGTTGGTGTGCGTTGACAAGCCAATGTACCACATTAGGGAGGACAACATTGATAAAGAAGGATTAAATGGAGAAAGAAAGAGGAACTATATATGAAATTGTCCCTCTTCCCCAATGTAAAAATGGCAGTATCAAAGAGAAGTACAGCAGTCAACATATTTTTAGGTTTTTGAATATGCTACCAGCCAAAGATAGATAGATAGATAGATCTCA